TAAATAAAATAAAATGTATCGATACTACAAGTACGAAGATAGTGTTGTGCTTAAATTTTAACTCGAATTTTAGTAATTATGAATCTCTTAAAACAGGAACTTTACTTTAAATCAAATTACGTATTTGAAAAATTACCCAAAGATTCACGTCGTCCAAACAATCATACGTATTAAAAATAATTTAGGTACTTACCATAAACCAAAATTCAGTCATTTTTATACGCACAGGTACAAAACAAACTAGAACACATGCTCAAAATATCCACCACCATTTTCGATGCACGCACGACACCTTCGAATCCAATTTCCGCGCACTCGCTGGAAAACACCCCAAGAAAAGGAAATGGTGGTACACAAAAAACACTCCGACACGGTCGAATCCAGATACCAACTGAATTGCGTATTGGTGGTTGCTAGACACAAGATAGAAATATAGTAATGGGAGCATACACGAAGTTGTTTCAATCTCAAGTGGTTATTATTTTATTAGTTTATTTAGCCATACCGATATACAGGTCTGTTCGAACTAAACGTGGGGGTGGTAGAAATGTATACGCTCAGTTGAAGAATGCGCGCGTGGTCAAACGAAATACAAACACAGCTGCATTGGACGACTGAGCAATAAATGTCAGTTGTTGACAAGTGGTTGACAAACTGCCTAGCAGTGCAGTGCACCAATGCGAAATTTGGTGTGATTCAGGTAATTTTAATTTATTATTGATATTAGAAAATTGCGAAAGGGAGAAATAAGGGGGATATTTTGTTTACTAATATTATTACAACATGGCATTTTGGAGACCTTTTTTACCTTTAGTAGAAAACTTTTTAGGGACACCTATGAAACTCATTAAATTTTGTTGCTAGGCGTTTTATACATGTTCAACTGACTTCTGAAAGACTATACTAAGGAAACGGTATTAAAAATCACTATATAAGGCCTATAAAAGTTTTATAAGAACAATTTATTAATAATTGTATAAAAATATAAACTTTGGATGAAGCGACATTAAACAAATATGCAGCGAATACGAATACAGTTTCTAATTAATAGATATTTGCAGCTAAGTACGAATTAAATATTTTTTTGTTGATTCTTTGAATTAGAAGCGTGACTATTTACATTTTTTTACACTTACTGACGTAAATGTACACTACATATAATAATTACAAACATAGAGTATTTGGTTTTGATTATAATTTTCTTATATTCTCATTCGCTTAAATATTCCATAAATATGTATACAAGGTGTACTTTAATATTTGATTTTTCAATAAGAAAAATGTGAGAGTGGGACATGCAAATATTACAGAGCATCGAACAGATGTTACACCGCAATATAAAGATAAGGATAGATGCATATTGCGCTTGAACGTATGAACAGGGTGAAATTTAAAATAGGATGTGTATATTCCGGCTCATATTGGCCTTCCGAGGAAACAGTCTACATTTCGTGTTACTTAACTATGCATTAAAATATCTTTGACGCTACATCACAGGATTTCCTCCAATGCGAATAACTGAACATTTTTTTATTTCGTTTAATTTAATTAAGGCGTCTCGGAGTCGGTTTGTTTATTTATGGTTAGGGACTGTATCAGGAGCAGCGTTTTCTATTGGGAAAATGAGTGCAGGCAGGGAATATCTACGGAAAATAATCAAGAAAAATATATTCTACCGAAAAAGAGTAAAAATAAAATTTAATGTTGTGCAGTGTTGAATAACTTCCGGAATACTCGCCACGTCGCACATTGAGGCCAAGCAACTGTTTTGCGGAAAAAATATTCTACAAAGGCGTAATGTTTTTATTTACTTATAATTAAATGTACATACAAGAATATAACATCAGGTTACAATGCAATAAACAAAAGCAGTTGGTATACTACAAATGTAAAACACAACTACTGCAAATCTATCCAATATGACATTAAACCCATCGAAATTAACATCACATGTATCAGAAATCATATTGACGTTATGCAACATATTATAAAAAGGTGATTTAATCAATAAATCTGAATTAACATGTGGCAAGTGAGAAGTAGAGGGCTGGCGAGTTATAATAGGCGTAAAATGATATAATAATTTCTGCAACAAATCTGGTGAATCAATTCCATTGTGTGTCAGCAAATGGAGGAATTTTAGACTTTGTTGCATTCTGCGAAGTTCAAGAGAGGGTATATTAAATTCTAAGCACGCGTTTTAAAATGAAGAAATTTAAAAAATTTCCTTTGTACTTTCTCCAGGTTTAACTTGCCTACATTGTAAATAGGTGACCATATTATACTGCAATATTTCAGCTTATATCTAACATATGAGAAATAAAGTGTTTTATCGGCTTTAGCATTATTAAAAGTATTACAGTTCCTGATGATAAATCAAGCATTTTACTTGCTGACGACTACATATTTTCAATGTTAGCTGAAGGCGACCCCCTAAGCCTTTCATAACATCATCAATTTCACATCGCTGTAAAATGCTTGAATTAAACATAACAAAAAGACACAAATGCTTGTTTCCTTACACTTTGATACATTCAGGCTGAGATTGTTTTTAATCTGACACCAATGTTCAATTCTATTCAACTGATTCTGGATGTTGATGCAGTCAGATGCAATGTCACTTTTAGAGTAAATAAGTAAGTAGATCATCAGCAAACATCAAATAGTAACAATCAACAATAGAACAAGTCATTTATAAAGAGCAAAAACAGAAGTGGACCCAGTATAGAGCCGTGCGATACTCCCGACACTGCCAAAAATCACTAGATCTTTGACGAAGTAGACGATAGTGTTCCGTTAATTTTTTAACACTGGATCGAATGGGACCTTTCTTGGATCGCTACGCCTATTTGTATTTAAGATATCGTTAAATATATAGTAAAGCATTAATTTTTGCTATTGATTTGAATTATTTTTCCTTTATGCTAGTAGTGAATTAAAGTTACTTTATTCCACTAGTGGAAAGTATCACTTTAGACGTTCATATGTGTGGATAAAAGTCCGATTTTAAGGTGATTGTGGATAAAAATGTTTACTGCCAATTTCCTTAACATCAGTGCAGATGTCGAATAAAAACGGTTTTTTAAAATGTGTTTTCGGAAATTGATCTATTTTATCTAAAATACCACGGACAATTTTTTAAGATGAAATCCTCTTTTACCCTAAGAGTAATATTGTGAATGAGAGACAAACTTTTCCTCCATTATTGCGATATCAAAAATACTGTGGATCTGATTGCATTCACCGTTATGGAGCTGTTTAAAAAATGCGATTTTTGTTGTTTATTCTTTGGTTTGGGCCTCAAGTAAAGTCATGTATGGATCGGAGGGTTCTTGTGGACCATATCTTCATTCGTGTCTGGCTTTGGCTTTACATTGTTTTAAACTTCGTGAATTTCTTTGAAACAAAAACAGCTACTAACAAGTCATAGAAAATAATATGAAAAACATTTTCTCGAATAAGTTGAGATGAATTATTTTTTTAATTAGATAAACATGGATAAAAATTGTAATCGTAATTTACCAGTTTATTACTCTCAATATTTTTGTTGGTACTTCTGAAGCTCGTGAAGAAATTCACGAAAATTAGTTCTTCTAATATTTGTTGTTTGATTGTAGGTTTGGTGCATCACACTTGTCCAATTTCCTCATGAATGAATTCATGAATAAATTCGCAATTTAAAACATGTGTTAGAGCGTATACTACGTGGAGGAAGAACCTTGTGTTAAAAAGTGTAGACGCTGTAGGGAGAAAGGGCGATACTTAGGGTACACGCTTTTTCTCTCTCTCTCAAATCGTTGAGGAAGAAGTTGCGTTAGCCAATCACGTGCTTGCGCGAGAGAGAAAGATACTTTTTACCCAAACTATCTCGTTATCTCTCTGTCACTCGCCTATACTGTCGACGTAAGCTTGCTTCCTCCATATTATATTATCCAATACTTAGCCGAATAACCTAGTAATTGCCGAGATATTTTAAAAATTATATTATTCGTATTAAGTATAAAATATAGTTTAATTTTCAACAATGAAGATACTGAAAGTTCTTGTTGGTTGGTAGAATGAAATGATTCATATATAGAAATATTTTAAGGAGAAACATAGTGTCAGAGTATATTTAGAAGAAAAAATAAAATATTCCCTGTTGTACTTAACTCTATTTTTACAAATTAACAAAATCTATAAATTACATGTTTATTTCATATTTATGTCAAAATTGCAATAATAGGAATAATAAATTACATTTGAACTTAGGGTGTGATTTCTTCCCGCCCTCCTATACTCCATAAAATATAATGGTAATGGTTAGCTTAAGGCATGTGGTGTCATCTGACGGCGCATAACAGATCCATACGCTATCCAGAATAGAATGCTGCCTAGAACCCTAGGAATATGTTATAACTTATAACCAATTTAACAGGTGGTTATTTTCCAGTAGTCATTTTTAATTCGCACAGAGGGAAACATTGTGATGTAGAAATGTAGAAGTAGAAAACAATTATTATTTTAGTTCCCTAAAATTGTTTCAGATGTCGTAACAGTATCTTATTTTATAAGCTTTCTGCTTTCTTTGGCGTTAGTTCCATTAATTTATATTGTAACATCTTCAACGTTCAACTCATATAAACTTTTAACAATGACGAATGCTGTATCACGAATTTTGTATAATTAATTCTTATTTGCAACTTATTTGGCACTAGGCTATGACAGTATGTCATAAAACGATGGAATGTCGGCGTAGCTTTTGAGCAAACGATATTAAAGTTCGTTAAAGTTATAACAAAATAATGATCCATTATTTGAAACTAAAACGATCAAACTTGAGAGAATTTTTTACATTGACAAAAAGTACTCTGAATTAATTTCGCTTACATTAAAATAATTACTTCATCATTAGATGTTGAAAAAATTGTAACTTCGATTTCTAAAGCTGATAACCAAATAGCAGGATCGGGTATAAACATAAGAAAACAATTCTTGCTTTTTACATATTTATATTTGTTTATATTGACTATGTGTATTATAAAAATTTATCCATGCGTTTACAAGTTTTGTTATAAGTATATTCTATATTAAATATTAGTTTTTTTTTATATTAATTACATATCTCCGAAGGTACTGTCAATGTGTGTATATATTTACAGAAAGTGGAAAATTCCCTGATTCTATTGTGATTTTGTTATGAATTTGTAAATTATATTTAAGTACAGGCTAGAACGAATAAATTAAGTGTTAGGCGATAACAAAACTCTGTAATAGATATTCGAAAGGAAGGTTGATTGTTCCATGATTTTCTTTAAAACATACAAAAGCATGAACATTTTGAAAATTAGATAATACAGTATAAAATAAATTACAATGATATTCCAAATATTTACAACAGATCAAAGTGCACTAACAAATTGTTAAAGTAATATATTTAACTAACGTAATTTTTATAAGTTTTATATAATAAAAATATAACTTAAAACTAATTGGTACATATCTGGCACATGGTGTGTGTTGACTTAAAACAGTCAACATTTTTTAATTAAAAAAGTACAAAATATTCTTCTAAAGGCCAGTAGGTGCGGCTTGCTCTGAACACTCGTCTGAACCCACTGACATATCAGCTATGATGCCACTTTCTGAAAATAATAATAAAGCTTACTTCGAAATATTTTCAACGCCCTTCTGTTATTTGCATTTCAGATTGAGACACACAAAATAATTATAAGCACTCGTAAAAAGTAAAGAATTAAGTTATTGTGTTAATTAAAAATCTGGCAGAAGTTATTACAGAAAAAAAATCAATTTAATTCAGAATTTTTACCGTTTAGGAATAAAAGAAACATAGGATTTATATTTAAGATAAGACAAGTGTTTCAAGTCTATGATAATAAATTTCTACTTTTTAAAGTAACAAAATTCGTAAAATTTCGATGGTTTTTAATGTAAAGAAACGATTAGTTACAGAAAGCACAGACCGTCGGATCACAGCTGATCTCAACGAAAAGGCCACCTAAAATCCTTAATTTTCGGGAATAGTTGAAATGAAATTTTTATACTATACATCAATTAACAATAATTTTGGCAAGATTTCTTGCGTGACAAGCTACGTATACTATTACACAGCCCCACAAAAAAAATTGAAATTATTTTCTCCGATATCTGAGGAGGTGCACTTTATGTTTTTGGGGTTGCTGACTCCGAATCCGGGGTCCGTTTAACCCTATCACGTCAGGGTCAAGGGCATCTGAAGGTCAAATTGCGGAATGACTATTAAAAATTTGGAAAAATTTATATATATGTTTTCGGGGTCGCTAAATCTGAATCTGAGGTTCTATTGACATTGAAGTGTCAGAATCAAGGTCAAATAAAGGTCAAAACCCTAAAATTTGATGAGATGATCATTTTGACCCCGGATTCTTGAAGAGCAGAAAATTTTACGTCCGAATATGTATTGACTTTTTTTTAGAACAGACCTTTGTAGGTCACGTGACGGTCATCCAAAATCAAATCCATTTTCCAGCTTTTGGCTGTAAATTGAGATCTTGGGTCTTTGATGAGTTGATATTTTTCGGGTCGTTGATCACGATTCTGGTATTCATTTTAGCCAATCACGTCGTAATATAACGATATAATATTTTCTTACTCCGGATTCTGAGAGTGAAAATTTTCATCCGTGTGTTTGCATCCAGGGCACCTCACCGTGGTGACGGCGGGCAACGGAGTTGTCCCGCTATCCGGCAAAGTCCCTGGAACAGGACGCGTATGCCGTCATGGCAAACACAACAGAGAAATTTACGATGCAAGGGGATGGAACCCCAGTATCGGCGGCTGGTCAGGGTGGGAAAGCGGGCCCGCAGGCGTCGTCATCCAGTGACCGCGGCTCTGTTGAGGTGGCTACCTTGGCCTTACCAGAGTATAAAGCTACCCGTAGACATGAGCATGACAACCCAAAAACCCCATATCATTTCTGTTATGTTTGTGGTAAATACATATTTGGATGTAAAATTTTCTGCTGTTTCGGAATCCGGGGTCAAAAATATCATATCATCAAATTTTAGGGCTTTGACCTTTATTTGACCTTGATTCTGACACTTCAAGGTCAAGAGAACCCCAGATTCAGATTTAGCGACCCTGAAAACATACATATATATATAAATTTTTCCAGATTTTTTAATAGTCATTCCGTAATTTGACCTTCAGATGCCCTTGACCCTGACGTGATGGGGATAAACGGACCCCGGATTCGGATTCAGCAACCGCAAAAACATAAAGTGCACCTTCTCAGATATCGGAGAAAATAATTTCAATTTTTTTTTGTGGGGCTGTGTTATATAAACCTGCAAACAAAAATTTCTTAATTGTGTTTCATGTGTACATCTGGAAGGTATTTTTTTTAGATAATTGAATTTCTGATATGCAATCCATTGTATCGCATGCTTTGTTGGAATAATTGTAAAATAAGAAGAATTGTAAGAAACAAAAACAAAGTACAAGTAAGTTAGAAATATTAGAATTTTTGCCTACCTAGGTGGAATTTTCATTGGGATACAGTGTGAAATATAAAGTGTTGCAACATTCCATCGACAATATTGTAGAAATGATTCTCCGATCAAAAATAGTGAATTTTAAATAAATAAACCCTTGCAATCAAATCATTAATAATAAATTTTGAGAAAAACTGAATTTAGAAATTTTATTTAGACTGAGGGTTGCTTTCAGTGTGCAGCTAAATAAAACTCTCTCTCAACAGTAAAATAAAAGTATTTTTATTGAAAACCAAGTTTAGTGAGAAGAAATGTTGTCGGGGCGTATTCGTATTAGAGTCCTGGTATAGAGTTGCTCGCATGTCTATGTATCTGGTCCCGGTGCCAATCTGCCATGGACGTTTCCTGGAACCCTGGTGCGTCCCGCGTGTTCTTTGCCGCATCTGTTGGCCGGCGCCAGACCGCCGTAGGCTCTTCCTGGAAGGTTGATGCATCGGGCGGCGCTCTTGACATAATGGGGGTCACTTGCGACATGTGTACCCACAGCGGAAATTATTTCCAATACCTACCCGGTCAATTTTCGAATATAAGTGATGTGAAATTAAAAAAGGCATCGATGGGCCTCAAATCCGAAAAATGTTTCACAATAAACATTTCATTGCAAGAATGACAGAAATTGAGAGAGTAGTGTGGATAAAGATATGAAAGAAATTGGAGCAGATGGGATACAATGATGGCAAACCCCTGTTGGTTACTGAAAAAAAGAAATTGAAGATAATAGTTGGAAAATACTCCCAAACTTACTTGCACAGGTCATTGGAAGGAAGAAGAGTACATTACTAACATGAAAGATAATAAATATGAAGTTAGTTTTCCGATTCAAGATATTTTGTTCAGCGCATCAAAATAGGTTAGGATAAGATTTGGATTGGTTCAAATAAAGTGAATTTCTAACGTTTTTCGTATTTTCCGGCAATTTCCCTGAATAACTAAGTTATGAAGGGACATGAAGATTGAAGACGAACTAGTGGTCAGCACATTAAAATTTGTTGGAATTTCCAGTAATTTTTAGCGATTTACTCGAATCCTGTGTGTGCTGGAGTAGAACTGAAGAGAGATTCAGATTCAGCGTCCTGTATGTCAAAAAACGAAGCGCTTTCATACTTCTTTTATGTTTTCAGTCAGAGAATTACCTGTAGAATTTTGTCGGTGGAAAATTGCAATACTCCCTATATTAAATACTTTTTAATTATCAAGCTGCCTCTCAGCACAATTATTTTTCTTACCCTCAGTATAGTAGATTTAAAGAAAAATCTATTATATAGGTACTGGTGTATTCTGTTCTGGAGTAGATGAGTGCCATATTGAAATAAGTCTTCAGTTCTGTTACAAATTAATTTAAAAAAAATAACGAAACTAATTTATACGCTATTGATCATTTACCGAAACTCCCGAGTCTTCGACAGCTGTTGTATTTACAGATATAACAGTGACTGAAAAAAAGAAATGCCATATTTCACCATGCTGTCATAAAGAAATCAACGTTGGAACAGTTTTGGCAGTTTTTTGAATATTAATGGCACTTAAGGAAAGACAAATCTACTATTGTTAAAGAGTTATCACATACGCAATATTTATATTACCTACCTACGGAACACTGACTATTAAGGGTCGCAGATCTGTGATAAGGCTTTGGACTGTCGCATGTTGACTCAAAGCTGAGATTCAGCGAATTTGCCTGTCCAGTGGACGTACCACCAGAACCTCCCGAGCTGGTGCTACTAGACGAAAGGCTCGACATTGATATAACGGAATGGGGGCGTTTCACAGTTCTGCAGGATTCAACTGCCGGACCTACAATAGAGTTGCGGATTCTTGGAACAGCTGTATAATAGAAAAATCGTGTTAAGGGAAACTGCAATAAGCAATGTCAAGTCAAGAGTTAAGAAAGATAGGGTTATTCTGTACCAAACTCATTATTATAAACGGTTTTTAATATTTCAAATATTTGGTTGTTTCGCGTGTCCCAAAATTCACGAAAGATTTGAATGTTGCGCCATTTGTGTCGTAAAGTATTGCCAACAAAAAAAATACAACAAATTTAAAGCATCAATTTGTGTCAGTTTCATACTTACCGTAGCACAAGAAATATCTAGTAGGTTAGGTTATTTATATTTCTTCCATGTGTGAAAAGCAGTGCATAGAAAAAAATTATATTCTTGTAATAATGGTTTGTTTATACTGCTATTAGATAATAGTTCCGATAAGTTTGATATAGATTAACCGAAGCCAACAAATACCTTGTTAGTGGTTAGTTATTTACCAAATTTAGACAACCACCGGTAACAGTCGCTTTCACTGTGAGTAAAGTTATCATTCAAACAATCATCACTAGAGATACTTTCACAATCACTACTGCTATCGTCATCGCATGCGATCGGCACATCTACGACCTGTATGAACAAACATGTGGAACCTAAAGTCGAAAAAGCATCATGCAAATTCTAAAGCTACAGAACAGTAACAGTAACTGCACTTACTTCGACTCAGTTGGGCGAAAGTGATTGATCTGTCACTAATCTGGTTTCCACTAGGCCTTATGTCCAGACAAGGCTTGTTGCCAATACCCATGGATGACATCTCTGCCATTCTGACAGCTGAAATTTCATGTAAAGTAATATTTTAGGATGGTGAAGCCATAATCTAGACTATAATTAAGAAATCATCAACTCTAGTAATTAAAACAATCAATCATCTATAATCTCCGGTAGATAAACATACCTTTTATTTTTCATTAATTAATAAGGTGATTGTATTTTATAGTTAAAATGCCCTACCTCTATTTTTGATTGCTTGCCTCCATAGAAGTTGAGACAATTCTTCAGTCCATATCTTCTTAACATCCTCAGTCATCGACTGCAATGTGAAGGTATCGTTGGGTTTCCGTTTTCTAAACCATATCTCGAATTTGGTAGGGCTCTCCCCTATTTTCGCTGTTAAACCAATGTCCGTCATCTTGATACTATTTTTGTATATATACAAGTCTAGATTCTGAAAAGTTGATGGTGAGTAATGAATTCACAATTAACTTTTATTGGCATTAAATTACCTTTCGGTCTGGGAACCTTCTAGCTTTACTAAACAGTATCAATTCTTCAAATAAAAACACTTGGCGCAATGTTTTCTTTCCAGTTCTTCCTTCCCATACTAAAAATTCGTTCTGTCTTATCAGTCTGCCTTGTTCCTTGAGATTCACCTAATTAACAATGAAAGGTTACGTCACATAGATTCATCACGAACCAGTATCAACTTACGTCGCATTCTCGTATAGAGTCCATAGCCAGTAAGTCGTTTCCGTGTCGCAACTGGAACCTTACCATTTCTTCAGCCTGTTTGAGGTCCTCAATTTCTTGTATACCCCTTTCTGAATTGCTAAGTACAGAATTCGGACAAGCCTTCATCATTTGTTGGAGCAGAAGAGCATACTTGCCCATTCTTTGAACGGGTTTCAGTAAGTAACTGGCCAAGTCCATTTTGTCGCCTAGCTCCATTTGTTTGCTCTAAAATTGAATAAAATGAATTTTAAAAAGTTGCTGCTGATTTAGAACTATTACCTTAAAAAACAGTGATCCGTACTCGGACATTAACGAATCCGACTTCGGTTTATTCTTGTTGTACAAAGCGTACAAGTAAAACCTCTTGTCGTATTTAAGGAAAATTTGACCCACTTGCAGTGGACTATTTTCACATTCCTCCAGCTCGGTCAAGAAGTGTTGACTATGAAACTCGTATATTTTCTCTACATTGCCAAAGACTGTATTTCTTTGACCGCGAAGGGCTTGGGGTATGTCTTCCCTTTGTAACTCTGGTATGTAATTAACTATTACATAGTCTAGGGACTTAACATAATCCCTCTCCGTCTCTATCATCTCTTTAATAATATATTTTAACGTTCTGGAAAAGATAACGCATTAGGTTTGCCATGTTTAACATTGTTAGTTGCCTTACTTTTGAGTCTTTGGGTCCATATTGTTGTACAAGGCATCGGAAGGCAAATCCAGCGTAGAAGCATGGCAGTACAGGTGGTTGTTTGCGGATACAGGAGGAACTTTTCTTCTTTCTTCGGAATAGTGATCTTCCTCGATGTCATCACTACTGTTACTGAAAACGATACTTTTAGAAAAACCATTTTGGTTACATCTTGTGAAAGTGTAATAGTTTTTAACCCAACTAGAGAAATATCCGATTAATAGGAGAAGACCGATAAGAGAAGATTTAGTTCTTATCAACTAGAAACCAGCTTTAGAAACATAATATTTTTAGTTCAAATGAAATCGAAGTTTCTTGTAAGAACCCCGCACAAAATCAATATAAAATGGGTCCCAGTCGATTTTGCTGAAATTGCAGTAGCTTTTGACTTTCTGATCGAGAGTTGTCATGGGCCCAAAGTGATTCCATTAATAGTTTCAGAGATAAAGAGGGAGGAAGTTTGTGATTTTGCCTTCACGAAGTTTCAAGTTGATGGATTTAAAATCTGTGGCATATAATGAATTTTGACCAGTAGGTACAATTTTTGGGATCGTTGAACCTGAATTCGGCGCAGCTTAGTTATCTAAGATCACTTAGTTGTCAGGTAAAGGTCGTTTCAAGGTCAAACTGAAGAAAAGACTTGTATTGAATTTTGACCAGTGAGTGTATAGGTTTTTGAGCTCGCAGAATCTGGCACAATATTCGATTGCCCAACGAATCTATTCGCGATTTCGTAACTCAACGAAATATCAATTATGGATATCATATCAACCAGTTAATGAAAATAATTAACATTTACCTGATAATAAACATGCACTAATCAATGTTTATTATTGTACCTGTAAATCTGGCGCTCAAACTCTAGGCACATGTGCCCAGGTAGCCAGTATATTGTGGTTTTTTGGATATGCTCGTCATGAGGTAAATGTTCGTTATCCTTCAACAAAGTTGATTCAAACCATTAGAAATGCTGGAAACAGACCGCCACAAGAAAACCCAAATTAAAAATCATTAAGTTATAACGACCTAACAAACGTACTTAAGGCTTTAATATGGAAAAGACTTCAGCATACCTTTTGTCGTGATAGGTATATTTTAAATAATCTCACTTTTATAGTCACACGCATACAACATTCACACAGCTACGCACACATATACATATCCTTAAACATTTACATACATACATACATATATACATACACACACACACATACATACGCATAGACACATGCACACGCACAATCACACAGACACTCTTACATACGTATTGACAGAAATAAATTAGATTAACCTGGAAATATAAACAATTGGCTCTTTTGAGGACCAAATGATGTGCAAAATCCGATCTTTCAACCTCCTTGTGGTGCACATCGGGTTCAGCTAATGACGACGGTAAATATGTGACTTGGAGTTTACATTTTATCCTTGGAGAAAATAAATATTACCAACAAAGAAGATAATAACGCAATTCAGATTATATTAAGAAGATAATTAACCGTGTTACACATATATTGTTTTGGAATGAAATGTTGGTACCTATACAAAACTACAAGACCTGCAGTGACCTTGCAGTGATCTTGATTAATGGTCAAGAACAAGTAAACAATCAGTTGATTATAAAATACTCAATTTTCCATTTGATTCATGCGGGGCTTGAATTGAGATTAAGTCAAATGAAATGACCTTGACTTGATTTCCAGGTAAACTAATAGGGCTAACCTATCCCCAAATTCAGGTTCGGCGACCTCAAAATCATACATGCTTACAGGTTAACATTCGTGAATGGCCTTTTCTTTACTTTAATCTTGAAATGGTCTTTACTTGACCGAAATGTGACCTTGAATGGCTAAGCTATCCCCGAATTCAGTTGCTCCCCAAAAAACTTATATACGCATTGGTTGAAATTCAGGTCAAGCCTTTTCTTTAGTTTGATCTTGAAATGACCTTGAATTGACTTGAAGGTGACTTTTAGGGTTACGCTATCTCCAGATTAAAATTCTGCGAGCCCAATAACCTATACACTCACTGGTAAAAATTCAATACAAATCTTTACTTCAGTTTAATCTTGAAACGACCTTTACCTGACCTCCAGGTGACTTTAGATAGCTAAGTTATCCCCGAATTCAGGTTCAGCGATCTCAAAAACATTGTGCCTACTGGTCAAAATTCATTACATGCCTTAGTTTTTGAATCTATCAACTTGAAACTTCGTGAAGCTTACTCAGACCTACAGCCAAAATCACATACTTCACTCCTCTTTATCTTTGAACCTATTCATAGGATCACTTTGGGCCCACGACAACATTTGATCAAAGTCAAAAACTGCAATTTCAGCAATTTAAAAAGTAATATATAGGTAAATTTCTAAACGTCAGCATGAAACATTTGATTTTCTTTATAATAGAAGTGTACCCACCTCTTCAAGAAGCTGTCGCTTCCCTCTTCAATAATACTATCTTGTTGGTTTTCTGTGTGATCCTGATTGGACCCGGCACTAGAACTACCGGCACTACACAGCGCGCAACTTTCCCTAAAGTACTGACACGAACATGTTCTTTGCAGTTTTTTCTTCATGTTATACACACTTTCCTCGCCGACAGAATTGTCGGCCGTGGAGACTCCACTATCACATCGGGTACAATCGTTATGTTCGGATTCAATTTTTTCTAAAAGATTCTCAACGCTCTCGCGCTCCTCTTTAATTCCACCTAAAGTTCCGCTGTTTTTACGCTCTAGAGTGTCTTTGCCACCCACGCTGTTGTTGCAGACGCAGTTCTGCAGTGTCTGTATGTATTTTTTCTTGAGTTTGTAAGATACGGTGTTCTCGGCATCGGACTCGCAACAGTTACACATTTCCCCGGCCGCATGGTGGTTGCAGTGGTATATGAATGCGAGGGAACTGACTGATCTTCTTCTTATTTGGGAACCTTGGGGTTTTACAGGTGTACTGGAGGCGCTGATTTCGGTGCACGAGTAGGGAGGGCTTTTGTCTTGCTGATTTCTTTCTCTGTCGGGTGGGTGATTGGTGTCGGAGATGTCTCGATGGTCTCTGGCGTTCTGGAATGAAACTGTTTCATTAGTGGAACCTTTTGACGAAGCTATACATTGTATAAACCATGTTTAAGGTTAAGGATGACCACATCTATTGAAAAGCAGACACTATTAAAGAAGTTAAACATAAAATTGATTTTACAAATTTTAAAATAACTCATGAAAATCCTTTTTCACTAAACGGCGTCACTGGATGGAAACAACCATTTTAATAGTAGTTTAATCAAACCTTCAAACATCATCAGTTTTTTCTAAGGATTCTTCTTGAACAAAAATACTAGAACTAATTCTTACCTTACAAATCTGATTCAACTTATCGTTTCCGCACTTCTTGGCGAGTTTAATGAACTCCTCTTGCTCTTTACCATCGTCGTCCAAGATGTCTTGGCACGATTCAAGCAGTAAAAAACATCTTGAACTGTCTTCAATTTTTTCTCGCGTATCTTCCAACTTCTCTCTAAAGGCTTTCATCAGAATCAGCAAGTTGCTGGTCAACTCTTTCAACGGTTGACCCTTGAATTCTTTTATATTTTTACATTCTTCATATAGATCGTTGGACTTTTCTATTTGCCTCTAAAATGACGTACAATGTTATTTTAAATGGAAACATGGGATTAAATGGAAACATCGTTTTAATATTCATGTCATACCTACAGGGTATTAATGAACTTATATCAAAAATTTAAAGGGATGAAAAATGAGCAAAAATTGAGTTAACTGACGTCACAAACTTGTATCGGAAGTTTAAGGTCATAGAGAAAAAAGCTAATTAAAAATGCGTTTAAAACTGTTTTGGAACTGCTGAAATACATGTATTTTATCGCGGCGAGTATTTACAAAAAAATCTGTAACACTTTTTACGAGTTTGTAGGTTTCTATAAAGCCGGGCGGTATTCGAAAGCCAGTCTGTAATACATTGTTGTAGTGATTGCTGTGCTGTTTTTCGAGAGTACATTTATATGCTCATAATTTATGGCGAAGCAAACGAAAATGCCCACAGAGCTTGTCAAGTGTGCTCCCGCACGGCGAACATTTGTTGCTGTAGCGCAAATAGTTTTGGACACCGGTGAAGTACAACCTCGTCGAGATCGCGACGGTAGCCCAGGGCGACCACTAAGAGTCTTAAATGTCGAAGAGATGATTTAGAGCATGTTTCAGTCGAATCGCTGGATAGGCAGCGGCAGACTAGTTGGATACCCCTCCCCCTCCCCCCGGTCTCCGGACCTCGTCCCCTTAGAATCCTTTTTGTGGGGATATGTTAATAGTGTTACCAACTGCTACATCGTACTGCCGAAGCTTGTAATACGATTCGAGAGGGCGTAGCAATGTTGCAACGCATGCGAGCGAATTGGATACGTCGCGCTGAAACTTGTGTGCAAGCAAATGGTGGGTACATCAAACACCTATGAAAATCATCAGTTCTCAAAATGTGGCTCCTTGCAATGTTAAGGTAAATTACATGTTACTCAACACAAGTCCGTGTATTTACCTCATTTTGACATAACGAACATGCGATAAAAATATTTGACATAAGTTCGTTAACAGCCTGTATTTACAATATTGCATAGGTAGATTTTATTATAGGTACTTTAAGGTTGTTATAACATAACACATTTTTGGTTTGCAATTTTTTAAATTAATTAATTTTTCGTTGTCAATAATATAAAAAGAACATTTTTTAATCAAAACGTGGAAGTAATAGAATTTGATTTATAGCATTGGTGGCGTACAGGGAGATGTGCAACTCTAATTTTTTTAAATACTTTCTGCACCTGTGGATGTTTTAAGAAAACGCATATCTGAATTATCTACTGATTTCACAAATTCAAATTCCTGTTATCCTTCAACTTACACATAAGATTAGGAAAATAGAAACTCAAGATACTAATCGACTGTAATCAATTGTTCAGCTTTGAAAGGATTGGGAAAATATTACTTTGGGATGAACTCATGGACCTAGAAGTTGCTAAACTTTTTCGTGTCTCCGAATCATCATCATAAACTTTTCTTCCGAGTGAAAAATGGAATTCTCTTGTTTCTCGAAACTTAGCAACTTGAGACAAATTAACAAGAGGCATATTTTTATGCCACACATACACAGAATTCAAAAACTCACTTATTTTCTTGAAAAGACTCGTAGGCGGGGAAATATTTTCAAAAAAAAGAAGACTACACTCAGGGAGTGAAATGTTTGAAGATTATTTTTAAGATATTAATGAAAAACTATTTCAAAAGCGAGGGGACCTGCGGCTCGAGAGTTATCAATACAAAACCCTAATAACTTGATCATATTCAAATATTCTTGATTTGATGTTAACGTTTGATCTACATTTTAACAGATATTACATACAGGTATTAACGTTTCACTTTTTATCGAGATCTGCTGGATTCAGTAATGAGGTCGTAACTTTCTTAGACATCGTTTTTTTGAAATTTTTGTATAGATTACTTTCGACTTCTTTTTGGTTGTACTGTAGGTATATGACCGGCCGCTGGGGAATATTTTTTGGGATACCCTATATAGCAAGTAGCTATTTATATAAAGATTAAAGTTATCTTATTTAATCATTTCAGGAAGCCAATACGTCAACTGACTACAAACATTTCGTTAATATAATCAATTATCCTACATTTATAGTAACAAGATTTCTTTACTGTTCCCTGGAACTACCAGCAAATTAACTCTTCATCCTCGTAGTAATTCCATAATTCCATTTAATCATACTTATTTACAAAATGGTAAACATAAAATGATTGGATCTGCGTAAAAATCGTCACTTTGAGGAAAACCAACAATCACGCAACGATTATCACCGATCTATAAACGTTTTCTCTTTAGTAAACGACAATGTAATATTAATATCCACATTCAATTCGTATTTCCGGATGTTTTACAAATAAATAGTTTCCTAACAAACGGGCAGGCTAATCTGTGCACGACACTTCGCAACACTTGGTCACGATCATTATTAAAATGAAAAATAAAATTGGGAAAAGTGCTCGCTATGCCTTCACCTGAGTATTACTTGTAAGAAAGTGACAGTAACATATGCAAGCAGGAGATGAAATATTATTTTAATTATAATGTTTTAAGTTACGGGTAACAGTCAGAGGAACGTCTGATATATTGTACGAATTATTATGTAACCAGTTATGTTTCCATAATAATGAGTATACTTATTTATGTCGATTGTGAAGAGAGAATAAGCTGCTTGTTATTGACGCTTTGGCAGCCAATTTTGCTTGTCTTTCCAAACAACGCGCTACGTTAGGTAATATTAATTTGTTTTTCTTTATACCCATCTAGATGTTACAGAAAATAAATGTATAAATGTCTACTGAATCGGTAATATTTTTTTACTGAGTGTTATGCGTACAAAATATATATTATTGGAAAGCGCGAAATGAGTCACGGGTAACTATGGCTTTTATTGAAAAATATATGTACTTACAGCATTGTCCACGGTTGAAACTAAATTAGTTTTCATTTTACGAAAAAGTATTTTATATTAAACAATTCTGCTTCTGTTCACTCGAACAAAAATGTAGTTTTAAGTGAACCAACACAGACTAAGAAGTATTTAGAAATATATGTTGTAATTGACTTTATCTTAACTAAACCTACAATCTACTAAATTATTTTATTTACAAAACATGGGAGTGTGATTATTGAGGAACAAATGCATCCATAATTGTCACGGTTTGGTGGAGGCATCATCATTAATAACAGTTAATGGTGCTCGATATCGCGACCTGATATCCAGTGTTTTTGCCTAAATTTCAAGATATGTGGACATGTGGTTTCAAGACGGTGCCACATGCCATACAACCCGAGAAACAATTCAATGACTGCATGAGCCATTTACTGGTCGTGTAATTTCCCGTTTTGGTGGTCAGAATTGACCGCATAAATCATGCAATTTAAGGCCGTTGGACTCTTTCATTGGAATTTTTTGAAGGTTTATGCCAACAAACCCACGACCACCCACGTCTTGAAGGGGGAAATTGAGCGCTGCATCAATGAAATTCAGCCGCATTTATGCAAAACGGTCATGGAAAATTTCCACAAAAGAGTGCAGCAAAGCAAAGCATTGAAGGCCATTTACCAGATGTTCCATACAAAATTCCATGCCAAATTAAAATTTTTAATTAAAAACCTGTGTTTTCTATCAAAATTAATTTTTCCGTCAATATTGGGATACGCTTTATATAGTTATTGTTATGTTATTGTCATTGTTATGTTTATTGTTAAGATAAATATAAAAAATATTGATCATATTGATAATGGATTTTAAGTGACGTTTAATCTAGTCTTATATATAAAATTCTCGTGTCACAATGTTCGTTCCCGTACTCCTCCGAAACGGCTTGACCGATTCTCATGAAATTTTGTGAGCATATTGAGTAGGTTGAAATTCTGGTGCTCGGGAAAATTCATCATATTTTGTAAACACTTGTTTTTTCAAATAATAACGGTACCCACGTGAGATACAAACTATAATGAAACATTGTCGATAATTTTCGTATCAGTACGTTCGTTATTTTCATTTTCCATATAATCACAAAATTGTTCAGAAAACTAAAATCTGCTTAACTGAGGTATTTAATATATTCCATACCGCTGTTGTGTACATTGTTATAGAATAATGTATTATGCTAAAAACCACTTACCCATGCGTTAAAGAAGAACTTCTCAAAGTCGTTGGCGACTTCTTTGACACCTGCAGAGTCGCCGGCAGAACGTAAGAGCAAAGTCAAACTATTCAGTGTTTCCTCGCCGACCTTTTTAGTCCACGAAAGAAGCTGTAAACAATTTAACGTTTATTAATCACCAGTTTCACACGACAGACAATTAGCTAATTAGACATAAAGAAGAATTTTGTATGCTTTGTGGGAACTACCTAGACTGGGTTCATATCCTTGTTTTTTATGTAAATATTCCGGTTTTTTTCCCCTGAAAATTTATAGAATTTATGGAAATATTCATTCTAAATTGGACTACAGTAAACACACCTTTGCGGAAGTTAATAATAATTTAAACAAGAATACTGGGTTAATTTTTTGCTTTACCTAGTTGATAAATGATAAGTATCCCAAATATATATATTTACACAAAGTCATATTTATTAATATACTATGAATCTCCTTTCTATGATTCCCAGTTCTGCAAATAAATTATTGGTAATAAATGTAGATATAGATAGATTATTATTGACAATACAATAATGATTTGAAAACTAAGATAGTTGTCTCTACATTTCCATCTCCCTCTATTTTCATATTACAATTTTCTGAACTCTTGTTTATTAGAAAAATGAAAGGTAGTTCTTTTTCTAAAGTTTATTTTTTATAGCTACACTACTTTGAGCTCAAAGAAATATTTATATGTTTATATTTCCGTGAATAGATTTTTTTTGGCGTTCATAATGAAATTAACTTTTTTTTTATTTTCAAGGTACCTTGGTGAAGTGACGTATCGGATAAACAAAAGTGATTAAGATAATAAATTTTATGAAAGTACAATATTGATAATCGGTTTATCTGAAGATCTTGCGCTTATCTTAACATTGTTAGTAACATAAATAAAACAAAACCGTTAGTAAAAAATGCCCATACGCGAAACGTACACAGTTAATTGAATCATTAAAGAGAAACTGTTTATAGCAATAGGCGAATTTTTAATGACTACCTGCCAGTCTGTAAAAGCCCGTCAAGTACCAAGACTAATTAAATTTAATAACAATATTTAAACACATCTTAGCTTTAGGAAAAGTATAAATATTTTGTCAGGTCTCAGTTTCGCTGTTGATAAAATTATGGGTAATTCAAAAGCGTTTCCTTGATGTCTTGTGGTACTAAAGCTACTAAAATCGATGATGTTTATAACAGTTCCAGTTTTATGGATGTAATCTAGCCTATATGTCTTAAAGAAACTGCACTCATAATAAATAAACTTAAAATGGTTGCCTATCGTTAAAAATATTCTAAGTGCAGTGCTTTCTGTCTGATACGTTGGTACAGTTGTTGTACGAGTACAACAATAATAAAATGTTTAAAACATTCAAAAAATTTATTAACACTTCTCAACTGTCTAGAAAAACTGAATTTTTGTAACCATGCAAGAATTTATTTATTTCATCGACAACAAAAATAAACTAGTAAATTCTTGTGACGAGACAGAACACTATTGTGCAGGTGTATCATTTTAAACTGTCCTAAAAACATTATTTCCAGTTGCTTATCTTCAGCATATATTTCACATTTTTCATCACAATTAGATTCATTGTTTTTCATGTATAAAATTCTTTGATTAATTGGGAAAAGTTAAATAAACAAAAATATTGTAAATCTAAATATTCTTATACTTAGATTAATTAGTCATATCTTCTTATTTAATTTTATCTTTCAACGATGTTCTTAAAAAAAACTATTGCGGCCATTTCAATTTGGGTCTACACTCATCGAAATAACACCAAAACCAGATTCTGTTTATTAGAGCATTTGTTACGTAGCGATATTTTTTGGCTATAACTTAAATAAAGTTTTCGTGATTTTCTGTATTTCTTCATTCTCTAATGTGTACCATATAATACATATACAATGTGAATGCCGCATTCTCTCTATGAAATAAATTCGTACACTGCTGATGCAGCATTTTTCTTTACTTTATTGTGCCCTTCGTACCTAAACGTAGAATGTTTTTAGGCTTTCATTTATCATACCTTTAAATTAAGTTTATGTAAGTTGCTTACATAAATACCCTAAAAAATTCAAACCGTTCGCGAATGTATTAGAACAAAGCAAATAAAATAGGTGTTATGAGTTTATTTACTCTTTCATCATTGCCAAATATCGTTAAATCGTTAAACGTAGGCAAGATAGATACACTGCATCATATTTGTCTGTGTCACCTCCAGCGAAATCAGAGGAAAATGCTGCTGCTGCTTATTGTGTATATGTATTGCTTAATATTTAATAATTAATTGCTTCGGCTAGTGCATCTTTACTTAAGCAATTAATTCATTTCCTAATCAGCCCCTTTAAGGACCGGAATTGACTGTTAATTAATTTCACGATTAGAATAAACGAACCAAAAATATTGTCGATCCAAAGGCATTAAGAATAAAATTACATGACCCACCTCGTCAGCTTCATCCTGTAGAGTACGGAATCTAGCAAGCTCTTTAAGCCTCTCTATTCGTTCCTGCTTTAGCTGTTCCATTCTTTTGGTGACCTTTTCAACGGAATTGTAAGAATCGTTCGCAAAACTGTTACAGCGCTTGACATCCGCACTATTGGCCAGCCACTGGCTCCGCTCGGCTAAGCTTGTTAAAGTCTTGTTTCCCTCTCTTCCAAGTTTTTGGATATTCTCCGATTCCAAGGCTTTCGTGATTTGCCTGAAAGAAAAACATTTTATTAGTTTATAACCCGATAGAAAATGAATGCGCATATTTGTGACCTAATGAGCGATACGGACAAAAGCATTTTTATGGAATTTTCTTGATTTGATTGGAATTTACCTATTATGTGTGTGTTTGTCGTCCATCGCGAATGTGCTAATCTCGTTTGAAATAATTAACAACACTAACTGAGACACCACCTTGCGCGGTTATTGAGATAAGATAATTTTGGTAGTGCATTAGTTTGCCTTATCTCACAGAGACAATTGAGGGATTTTTTGAAAGTTCGATGGAAAATTAAATGTGTAAGTTTATGCAGAAGTATATGCTGATCAAATAGAATAGATCCTTGAAGTATAATGGTATTAGAATGTATCTTGGTGCTAATTTTACAATTTGGAAAATATTGTATATTAAAAGGAAAAGTTCCTTTATTTCTCCCGTTTATCTCGCAATATTTGTAGATATTCAATAAAAATATACTTTGTTTATCGAGCAAAGGGATTTTGTTCTAGGAAAATAATATACAGGCAAGTCATCATAATTATTTTTCTTGTGGTATATGTATACGCTGGTTATTGCAGTATCAATGTGAACAATTATGTCTGCATTCGTAATTCTAAGAACTTAATATTCTAAAAATGACGCAGGCTAGTGTCAGGCTATCAAATTTTCTTAACATTTCTTTAAAAAGTAAAAGTTTAAAAATTTCTTCTTAAAATAGTAATAAACATTAAAGCCTGAGTGATAGCAACTGATCAATTTTTCCACCGCCAATCACATATTAGGATAGTGAAAGTGATGAATTTACATCCATTTTCTCTATATATTATAAAAATTAGAGATATGATTTTAAAAGATCATTCCAAATTAACACTGAATTACGATTTATTAGAGAACAATCAGCTTTCAATGTTTTAATGCTTCAATGAATAGAAGAATAATTAGCAAGTGAAAATTATAAATATATTACACTTTTGCAGCCTCAAAACTAGATAAGATGACATAAAATATCATATGACTAAAGAATAACTGAGATGAATCATTCCAGCGACTGAAAGGTAGGTATACTTGCAATGCCGAACCTGTACTTTACATCCGTCATCCAATTACCAGATAAGATAAATCAAGATAACACAACAAACAGCTCCAGATTATATATTTACTACGTACCTGCATTGGTGGTTCAGAAATCTCCGTGTAATTTGGTGCGGCACTTCCTCGTTTCTGAGTTGGGACAAGGTGGATAGAAGACTTTTCCCTGCCGATCTGCAGGCAGCTACAAATGGCTCTAGTTGCTTGAAGAATTCGACCCATTCAAGCTGGTCGTGGGTGCAGGAACCGCCACAACTTGCTGGAGCTTGATCCCGGCTAATATATTTGTTCAAAGAGGCTTCGCCAGAAACAAATATTACCTGAAACGAGGAAAATATGAATAACTCCCAAATAAAAGTTTTTGCATTTGCAAATTGCCTCCTCTTCACAACCCTTCAGTTTCATTAAGAAATAAAAGTTACTTGTTAATTTTTTTTGAAAAGTAAATCTATTATTTATGAAACGGTATAGTATTAAATATTTAAATTGTTCTCAGTTGCTTCTGCAAATATGTAGAGTAACTTTTTTTGGGTCATAAAATGGATTTGAAGAAGGACTGAAGATCTTTCTAACAATCATTTTCATTTAAAATGCAAATTTGGCATACTCTATAACGAAATATGTATATAATTCTTTAAGATTGAGAGTGTTTTCATGACTTTGTAAAAATATTTAGGACAAACAAACTAGAATATAATTGATGTAGAGATATGTATCTTATCATATTTTGATAAAAAATTTATGAAGACAATCTGACGTATAGAAATATAAACAAATATTATTAAACTTATCAAAAATCACTTTGTTGTCATCTAAACAGTACTTTTTCTATTTACAACCAGAATATAGGAAGGTGCAATTAAATGACGGACTTCATTAAATTCATATATTAAACAGTAAATAGAGTATTCACAATCGTTTCTCTTATCGGTCGAAAACATTTTAACATTTTTGGAATAGCCAATAAATATTAAGCTAAAACGAACGAAGACCCTGAATCAATAATAGCTACTAAAATGAATTGAGGCTGAATCAGCGAAACCTGCTATATTACTTTCTCATAATGTACTGTAAATAATTTCTTCAGCAGAATAATGAATTAATACATACAAGAGAAACCCTTGTTCACTTTTGATATTGGTAACTGTGGATAGATATCGACACTTGTCATTAAATGGATTTATGTAATTATTATCAATCAACTTTTAAATTTGTAAAATTTTTATTTCGTTAAGTGCGAACTAGATTATGCTTCAATTATTTTAGAACCCTGGCACAATAAATACTGTAACTCAGTTGAAAACTTGTAACGACGTTACTTTAAGTTTTTGCCCTTTAAATTAGATAGGATATACCCAACAGGTCGAGTTCCTTGACAGGAATTATTAAATAGATTTTCTATTATTAAGTTGCAAGATCAAGGAAAGCTTTCTTCCCTAATGCTTTTATATCTACAAATTGTATTGTGATTTTCTAGATACCTTTAATATTTTAAAAATATTAAATTTTCGTGTTCCTAAATCTAATAGGTTTAATTTTACTGCTTTACCACAGACAAACGTTTTGAAGTTGCTAAGTTAAAGCTCGTATACATTTTAGCAAGTTGATTATAATGTATGTTTGCTATTATACTGATTAAATTAGTTATAAAAAAATATCAAAAAACCAGCATCTGTCGAAAACAAATACATTGATATCAATATTACTGTTCCTTCAGAGAAACAATCTTAAAATTGTTGTAATGTTAAAGTCATCAGAACAAATGGTATGTAAAGTATTTCGTTGATGAATTCAAGCAGCTGACGCATGGGTGAGATACCAAACGGACGAAGATTTGCTTGGTACCTCCTTAAGATAACAACACATGTGCATGGTAAACATTTCAGATGACAAATATTTAAATCACTTTTATTGTGGTTGATTACGAGAAATCATAAAATAGTAAAACTTCTAGGAATTTTATGACTTTGATTTAAATATGTGATTAATTCGTCTTAGGTATCATTACCAAATTTGTGGAACCTTTTTCTTCTCAAAATGTCTCCATACTATTTTTTTCTGAATGAATGTCGAAAAAGGACAAATTTGCATGAGTTAAATCAGACGATAAATCCTTTTTACAAGAGTACATTTTTTAAATTTTTCTTAAGAATACTTCTGTGTTCCCTAAAAGCAATTTAAAATTATTGATTTTAGACTGAAATAAAGTAGATAACGTATAAAATATCTACTAAAAGCTTCACTTGTCTTAAATATTACATAAAAAGAAACGATATCTTGCGACCTATTGTTCCATATTTTTTTTAGACTTCAAGTTGCAATATCTTGCTCCTTAGATTAAAGTTGTGGCACAACTAATATAAATTAACGAAACTGAAACTAGTACTCCTAATCGAATTGCACATCAGTAAAAGTCAATCATTATTAATTCACGACCTTGTCTCTAATTTCCAACGACCCAGCCAATATTAACCAAGTGTGTCTGTTCAAAATCGGACCATTGTATTGAACTACAACACTACTCTTTTATGAAGAAATGACCTTGCCTCAGTAAGCTGATCAATTAACGCTATTAAAGTGAAAAGTCTTGAAAATTACATGTATTGAACTCTCGACCGCATCATAAAGAAATGTAAATTGTGTTCCAGTGTATTATGGTGTGTAAATGGTATTTAAGTTTTTTTTAATAACAACCTCAATTAAACCTGTTCCAAAAAAGAAAGTATTATTACTAACCTAATTGCCAATGCTATAACTGACAGGTTGAAAAATATGAAAATAAAGAGGTATATAAATATTGTAGACAAATGCGGTGCTTGTATATTAAAAATGCATATTTTTTATTCCAAGTTTCAGTAATGTAATTCTTCTTCACAGAAGAACATTCTCGTCACCGTCAATAATTAAGAAATAATGAATTGAATGTAATAAACAAAATAAATTTGTCACCACGTTCTTCTCTATTTTGCAAATATTTGTTGCAATATGATGAAGTTCAGGTGTTCAGTTTTTATATTAATAACTAATTAAATAATTAATAATAATTAAACATTTCATATGAGAATGAAATTTATAGTTACGAAAAAATATCACAGCCATTTTTTTCAAAACTGCATATGCAATAAAAAAATTACAATTCAAAAAGATATTAAAGATACTATTTGTACGACTCTTAATAGTGATATTGAAACAATTGAAAGGAATCACCATCAGTTGTTTCGTCTGCCTCAACTCACCTGCCCACTTTTTCACGGGTACGACCGGAAGACTTCCCTTTGAATGTCAATGATTCTATTTCTACTAAAATTTATTCGAAATGTACGCAAACACAGATGTCTTATCTTACCTGAACACGACTCGCTAGTTCCTTAACATGCCTGTGGCCCCTCAAGCCCGGCGTCCATATAAGAAATCTGTTTACCAACATAGAATTGAGAATAAGGCATATCGACTTGTCCAGGATTTCCAGTACTTTGTAGTCCGCTTCGTTTTCTGCAAGAAGTAGGACAGAAAATCCTTTTCCCTTGTTTTCAGCACTGCAACAAGAACAACACCGTTATTTTAGAGCTGATTTAGAGCTATAGAGCTCATTTCTTAAGGATTTCTATAAAAGAGTTAAGACAGGATATATGCATAGATATGATTACGAAAAAAAAAATAGCTTTCAGATGATTTTTTTTACATTGATTGGCTCCATTTGTCTAAAATAAAAAATTTCGTTAAAGAACATTTTGGAAAATTGGCAAATATCAGATAATTTCATTCTGAGTAAAGTCTATTTCCCAAAGCTCAGGCGGACTTCGCTGTAGAGCCTCAGCGGATCCATCAAGTACTGTGATCGAACGTCAACCGCGATGCCATGCCGTCCGTTAATCAGGAACGGAATCTATCCAGTACTTGCACTTTATAGAACCTGTGCAGGTCAGTAGTCACATAACCGGTTGTTATAAATATACGTTTTAACAATAAATCCACTTTTAAAGCTTAAAAGACAGTGATATGGTCACCATCGTCAAAGTGTCGCGAAAATATTAAGCGCAACAAAGCTCAGTTGAAAGTCGTGCCATCTTGAGGCTGTACCAAAGTGGACGAAGGCGACAAAGAGAAGAATCGTTTCCTATTTCAAGGCAACTCTGATGGAGAATTCAGGTGGGCAAAATCTTGTTTCGTAGGTGTGCCAAATATACCTAACAAGGGTCAAAATAAGGTAAATCCGCGACATGGCTCCCAACCTGTGGCCCAAATGTCGAAACACCAAAGTTATTATAAGATGACAATATGTTCAGAAGATAGGAAATAATACATTTAGGAAAATACCAAGCGAAATTGCTAGATATCTTGGATTGTCTAATCTACAATCTAATCTTGGAAGACTGTAGCAGAATCTAATGTTATTGTACCAGTTCTTGAAAAAGCTAATTATTTACGCTGGAAATTGTATAAAACTGTCGCCTTTGACACTATAATACTTCCTTAAAACTGATTTACCAAATTTAAGATAATTACATTCATTAATTTTATAAGCTACGGTAGCGCAGTCGGTCGAGAGTGCGGTGGCAAGCATTTCTCGGCTAGGCTTCCTACTCTGGTCCGGGTTCGATCCCCGGTGTCGGCACTGGCAATGTCGATGGATAATGGGTGTTTGTCCGCGTAGCTCCCTTCCGCACAAGCCTTTGGCTTTTGGATTTGGGGGTTGTCTCATTTCTGTGGTGTGTTTTATGTTATGTTATGTTTATGTTAATGGTACACTTTAGTAGCTGTCAAATTATTATCCAGTCGAATTGTACTATCAAGTGATTCTCACAAACCAAAAGAAAATCTAGACCACCTGCCGCTTGTGTAAGAAGACCTGCTATAATTTTTTGTGAACATAGCAAGCCGAAACACTCTCTGTCGTGCAGGTTTATATTGGCATACTCGCAAATCAAGAACAATCTAGATTGGAGCTGTGCTAAGTAAAATAGTAACTAAAAATTCCCAATATTTTCAAGACTCAAAGTTTGCACAGATGGATTTTTCATTTTCTTTACATCGACCGAACGTTTTTATAGATTTTATCAATGTAGCTACAAATTTTAGGCCACTGACCTTAGCAACAGCAAGCAATACATATTTCTTCTAGATTTATAGTGATCGCGTCTATTTTACCATGGATTAAAAGTAAATTTAATCCTGTGGGATATAAAACTGAATTTATTACTGAAGTTAATTAAACTGTAAAATATTTAGCCCATTGAGTGCAAAAAATTGTTGTCCTGCAGCCCCATAACAATATTTCATAATTATAGTTATTAATAAGTAAATGACTTTAACTAACAACACTTATGTATACATTCAATCGATGAATTTAGAAATCAATTAAATTTCACTGCGAATACCAAAGAGACCTGTGGAATAAATTATATAATAAGCAATTGGCACAAATGCGGTCTACTTTTACTTACGTTGGAATCGAAGAGTAATACAAAAGCAGTTTTGCAATTTCGTACTTGTTAAGGCCAGCCCGAGCAATGCACTCCGCGTAACACAGAATAATTGGTCGTCCATCTGTGTCCGTGGTACCTGGAACATAACGGAAATAAAATAAATATTGGTGCTTTTAATCGGCAAACAAAATAAAAGAAAAGCAATAAGGGAACATGACGCACGGGTACGTTGTTCCCATTCATTAATCAGTTCGTTGAATAGCAACTTAATCACAGCAAGTGCCTGTTTTTCATTTTTATGCTTCCTGTTGCAGCAACCGAACGGCGACAAGGCGCTGCATAGGGCCGTCGCAGTTCCGAAGGAGACTACGAGCACGTGTGGAATTTAAATTGTATGGTAATATGACAAGTCTCCGTGTGATTGCAACTGACTGTGTAATGACCCAAGCGGCTCCACTGTAATTAAATAAGCCCATAAAGAACCTACTTCCGTCCTTCTACGACCTAGCATTTCATTAGAATGAAGAGGTATGGGAAGTTAAACCCGCGCGGTTATTAAATACGATTACATTTCATTCCGATATACGGAAATAGAACTACCAATTTTGTTATGTTGAAATCATTGTCCTGAGGAATTATAAATGACCAAATAAATACTAAATTAGGATTAGACATCGGAAACTTTGTGGCGATAAAGTCTTTCAGCAAAAAAACCGGGATTGTTCACCGGCACGCACGAATAAATTGATCGATGCGAAACTTCAGATCAGAGGCAGACATGTTATTGTACAATGTCGCGGATAGTGGGATTACCTACTAAAATGGCGTTAAGCGGTGAAGGGGTTGATTTTGTAAATTTGTCTTAACTCAACTTGAAATAGAAATGAATGTGGGAACTAGATAATTATATATTATAATTATTCTTGTTTAAATATTTTTCTTTTGGGGGAAGAAATGCCCAATTAAATACAAACCGTAACAAAAAAATAATTATCTACAATATAAGTATAGCTGTCTTCCAGCAAGCCACTTTTCAAGTAAATTTGCAGTAAGAGAGAGAGAGTCCTGCCCTTGCAATTTTCGTTGTTTTCCAGTTTCGCTAGGAACATGCAAACAGCTGGCGTAAAAGAAGGGCAGGGCAGAGACACAGTGCACCAGTGCACTCAACCAACGCGAGGAATGACTGTAAGTGGGTGCCTTTCTGCTACACCAGGAGTCTATGTTAATCAGCAAAGGTCAGCACAGTTTGCAGGCCGTGAGAAAACCTCTGGAAATCGTGCACGCTATGTGATAATAAGAAATGTCCTTTGCCTACACATATGTCTTTAATATGGAAATAATAGGCGTCGCAATAAATTCTCCTACTGACTATTCAAGGAGTAATAAATTAATATTTAATGAAAAAAATGAATTCCGCGAGAGAAAATCGGTTTTGATGGTTGTTTCTACTGCAGTGTTTCGAGTTTTATGGCAATGGAAAGCATCTTCCTGATTTTGGGTCATTAACTTCGTAGATATTGAAAGAACTATCCCACTTAACTTTCAGATAAAGAAATAATTCCACCATTTTAAGTGATGTGATATACTTATGGCATAGGAAGATTAGGAAAAAATGGAGAAAAGTTAGCTCGATCTATTTGCAAGATAGGGAATTTGAGTTTTTTACCCTTTTAAATCAACAGACTTATAGCACGCATTTTAATCATTATAATATATTTTTATTTAAACCTCCATACTTCGAGTTTCATAAATCTTTGTACTATTACGCTAACTGAAGTAAATTTATTTTATTTTGACTCTCCAGCCCGGCTCTTCGACTTATTATTGAGAGTAAAATATATTTGAGAAAACTAATATTTTTGGATATCACGCTGTGCACCGGCATATTTATCTTTAAAAGTCATTTAGTTTTTTATGTTGCCTGATGAAACGATTCTACTTATTTGGATACTCTTCTAATAACTTAGTCTTAAATTTATGACCAAGAATATGTGCATAATGGATACCAAAAATGAAATATAAAAATTCTTGTCATAGCTTTGCATTTGTCATAAATGTCGATTCATGTTTGTTTATTCTTATACTCTTAAACTTTAAAGCAGGAAACAATCTGGTGATGCATCGGAGAATGGTTGATAACACTTTTACTTGTATAAAAAATGTAATAGTGAAATTGTGACTGTCGAATAAACCCTGAAAACCATTCAAGGAATCCTTTATGTTAGTGACAATGGATCCTTCAATGGCAATTAATACGCCCTTCTGTAATATTTGGACACACATAATTTTGCAAAGCGTAATGTACAAATAGTGAAAGCAGCATCAAACTGAAATTAAATAGAAGTTTACTGTTAATAAATTTCCTGCAATTATTTACGGTTAATATCGCCTAATGTATAATTTGCTGTTGTGAGACAAAAATTGAGAGACGACGAGACGACGAGGAAGGTGTAAAGACGAATACTCCTTCTCGAAAAATTATTACTACTGTTATTCACATGAAGCTGTGTATTGTATTGTTAATTAAAACCCTAGACAAACATTAAAAAGCCTACAGTACTGAAATAGAATTTTAAATAATTATGTTTAAGAATCAAGTGGATCTATTGAATCTTCTAAATACTCCTAACCGCGCCATTATTCCATGGCTAGAAATTGGCCTCAATGATTTGGGATCGAGGGGGATTATCCCTCTTTATCCTGCCTCATCTCGTGACTCCTAACCGTGGAAAGTCTAGGTTAATAAAGATCTGATCCAAATATGTCCGACATTAACAGATTTGTACCTATATTTAATATTTCAGTAAATTTATATCTTTACTTAGTCCCAAATTTCATTGATTTACGTTAAACACTCTTTGAGATATTTGTGTAGATATAATATTGTTCAGAAATTTTAGCTGTTGTATACCAAAAACCAAGCCGTTTAATATATAGGTAAATGGATTTTATCTACTTACGAAATACGACGGTTTTAGTTATTTTAAAAATTTTAGGACCGAATATTAAGTTTACGGCAAAATATACAGGGTGTTTCAGAAAGACCTCCCGTAAATACATGAGTGATAGTATGACAAAAAATAAGAATTTTTTGTCATATAAACTATATATTTATCTTCACTTGTTTTCGAGATACAGAGCGACAAAATAAAAGTTTTTAAATAGAATTTTTACGAAAATTTCCAAACGGTGTAAAATATTTTTATGTAATTTTGTATTCCGACGTTTTTAAGGATGCCAAATACGCTGGTCTAATTATATTTTATAAATTTCATAGAGGGCGCTAGTTATGCTACCTTCGTATTACATTTTTAGTTCTATTTTTTTAAGGGTAGGTTTTTTACCATTTGGGCTTCAATTTTTAATGTACAATTTTACTTTCTAAAAATAATGTACTCTTGTTAAAACTTCCTAATGTGGACGGTGTTCGAGAAAAAAACCATTTAACTGAATTCTAACAATATTACGGTGTATAAAAAAATAAGTGACTTTTCTCAAAGTAAGCTTATGTCAAAATTTATTAATGGGTGTTTTATAAACAACGCATACATTCTTAGTAATATTTTAAACTCTAATTATCTATATCAAAATTTTAGTGACTGTAATTAGTCATTACTAACTACAGTCACTAACAATCACCAAAATTAGAACATAAAATGTAATAGGATGTAGCATAACAAACGCCCTCTATGAAATGTTCAAAAAATAATTAGACCAGCGTATTTGGCACCTTTAAAAACCCCAGTATACCAAATTTCATAAAAATATTTCGCACCATGTTTGGAAATTTTCGTAAAAACTTATTTAAAAAATTTTATTTTGTCACTATGTATCTCGAAAACAAGAAGAGATAGACATATAGTTCATAAGACAAAAAATTATTGTTTTTTGTCGTACTATCACCCCCTCAATTTAAGGGAGGTCTTTCTGAAACACACTGTATATATTAGCCTCTGGAATATTATTAAAGCTAAAGTAATTTGAATAAGACTTTTTTAAAATGTTGGGGGAATTACACAAATTGAGAATCTCTAAGCATAAGTTCATTTGATTACGAACGTTTTTTCACTTTTAATTTTTTTTTGAGTATTATAAGAAAATAGCAATTTTTCTGGTTCCCGGTGTAAATCTCCTTTGATCGTGTAATATAATATTTGATACTGTTACAACATGAACATGAATATTCAAAGAGTAGAATGTAAATAGTCAACAGGTATGAAAGTAACCAGGCAGGAAATAAGGTATACGGCAAAACGATGATTCTATGTGATTTTGTTATAAAAATATATCAGAAAATCTAAAAAATAAATAAATTTTGGAAATTTTTTATCGAAAATTTTGAAAATTTTTAAAATTTTTTTAATTTTTTAAAATTTTTTATTTTTTTGCATTGAATTAAGATCGGATATTGATTTCTACATATTGATGTATTTAATATTTGAGTAAAATTTGACAATTCTTACGGTTGAAGTGTGAATTTATTCGCTTGTTTGCCCGAGGAAGATGACTTTTAATAACTTTTAATAATTTTTTCCAGACAAACCATAGCTTGAACGTAAAATGTGCAAAGTATCTTTTTTGTCGGAAAAAACTTCTTCTACACAGTAATATTTTTTATTTTTCTGTATCTTGATTCCAGTCCAAAATATTAAGGAATTTCGAAATTCAAAATGTTTTTCAACATTTTTTTGGACTTGGGAAATTGATAGACCAGTGAACTTTTTCTTATATTAATCTGCATATTTTGAGGAACTTATGAGAAAAAATCAGCCATATTGCTAATTACTTGTGCTTTTGGTGCAAAATTACTTCTATCGACTGAGCTATAAAAAAACATTATCGGATTGGCAGGACATTCGTTGAGGTCGACAGTCGCTGACGTATTTGTAAGTCGAATGTTTACTTTTAATTAGACAAATCAGTGGCTCAAGTTTCGCCAGTTCATATAAATACATCCTTAGAGGTATTTCAGAAAATGCATTTTTTTTCTAACTGAATTATTGTATTCTTCATAAATGAGAATAGACAAAAGGAAAAGCGACGTATCCTCAAGTTTATTTTTGAACTACCCATAGAAAATTAATAAACAGTTCCAGGAAGATTTTGTAAACCACGCCGATTTTAAAGGAATCTTAA